GGGGGGTGGGTCAAACACAAAGTATAGCGCAAAGGCAGCAAAAGACAAAGGGCGGGTTATAGACCTCGGTCAAGACACGCACTGCCGTGACATAACAACGAGTGACGCGTAGCACCATAAGGGCGTGTAAGTTGGTACGGGCCGCGCAGGAGGTGACCAGGACCCCGGCGGTCGCGGTGACCTTCTCTCTCTCTCCTTGCCCGGCCGGGTCCCTTTTCCCTCTGACGTCACGTGACCACACACTGCTGGCGTGCGCGGTGTGGACTCACGGGGCGTGTCCTGCCCGTTCTGAAAGCGGGGCGCGTGGCGGGGCAGGGCGGGGCGGGGCGGGGGAGTTACGCCCCTCGTCGTCGTCGGTCGCGCCGGCCTAACTCGTTTACACTCGGGCAAATTGAATAGAGTGGTCAAACACTATCGCCGTCTCCAACCGTGCGCCGCGGCGGCGGTGGGGACACGGACACACCCCGAGCGCGGAGACACTTCACTCGCGCTCAAGGCTCCTATTCTTCACCCCCTGTCGTCGGCCCAGGAGGATTATTTACCTCCCTTCCTCGTACCCCTTTCAGTCTTGGACGATCCTCCTGACCGGCCCTGTCCTGAAAGCACTGGTGTGCAATAAAACAGTTTACAGTTGCAATAACTGTCCGCAACTCTGCGCAATAAAGCAGAGCAAGTGTACAACATTTCTAGATCGCCAATCGCCACAAGCTTTACATATGCGCGTGCCACATATTTACCATGAAATGTCGGATTTTACCTGACAAAACTACGAAATTCTTTTGATAAACAAGAACTGACACGAGCGCGTTACCTGTATTACCTGTATAAATTTGCGTACATCCGGTACATCGGAAATTGAAATTGTGGGAATTGGGATGAATAATGATAATAATAAATATTTTTTGGCGGTGCGCGGTGCGACTTTCCCACGTCCCACCCGCCCCGGGGCCGCATTATGTGAGAAGCACCGCGCTACCGACTCATAAGAACTCAATGACTTACATAAAGGCTAAAGGCGGGCGGGGCGTATGGCATGGCGGGCCGGCTGCGCGACCGTCGGGCTCTGCCTGCGTCGGCCCTGCCCGGCCGACATCACTCACGCGAGCCCGCGCAGCGCAAGGCACGCACGCACAGGGGCATCTCCCGCGTAAATGAACCGTCGGGGTAACTCGCGCCCCGCCCAGCAGCAGCTCACGCACAATCGCAGCCTGTCCATCTCTCTCTCTCCGCTGCCGGCGGTACTAATCCTCATGGTAACACGCATAAAAAACAAAATAAAATAGAACAAAACAAAAGAGCAGCAAAGTGAATTACCTCGGCATTTCCCGCGCGCACTGCGCTTCGCTCCGCTTTGCTTTGCTTTTATTACGAATGCGCTCCTGCTCCTCTCTCATGCGCGCCGGGCCCGCCTTGTGGGGCGCGTAGATTGCCACTAATGTACTCGGTCCCGTCGTCCCGCCTCGTCCTATAATCGCGACGTGATGTACACGCCTCCGCGCCTCCTCGAGTGGGGAAGAGAAGAGAGGGGGAGGGTTTCCTTCGCGGGGTCTGGGTCTGACTGTAACGCGCACACAAGAGGAGGACCACCAGGAGCAGCAGGAGCAGCTGTGCGGGTCAGGGAAAACGGAGTGAATCTTCAGGTTGTGGGAGAAAAGAGAGAAATGAGAGAGGGGGAAGGGGATAGGACGGGAAGTGAAGCAGGAGTCGTAATGACGATTCGTTTCCTTCTCGTTGCGTCATCATAAGTCGTTCGTCTCCGTTTGAACTGGTTGCCGCGCGCACTACACTGCTGCAAAAGCCACCAATATATAAGGCCGACGACGACACGCATCCCCCCCCCCCCTTCTCTCCCAACGACCACCCTCCTTGCTCTCTTTTTGTGCACCGCCGCGGCGGCACTCTATGGAAAATCAGAGCGCATGAAATATTTAAACACAGCAAGACCGCGACGACGCCGCCAGGACGCTTTTCGGAGCCCGCAGAGCAGCGAACAACGCACACCCGACCCGCCTCCCTCTCATGGGAGCGGACAGGCAAACCCGAAATGTTGACATGATTTCATTCTTCGCCTCTCCGAGAAGGGGGCCCCGCGGGAGCATTGCGGGGGAGGGTGGGGGGAGGAGGGCTTGGGAAAAAGGAGGGAGGGGGGCTAACCGGTTTATAGTTCGCTATTGTTGTTCCCTTCCCAGGACGCTCCCCCTCTCGTCGGCCCAGCCCGCCGCGCCACCAGGATGGCCAGGATGCGGGCGTGGCGTGGCGCGGCGTACGGAGAGGCGTATGTCTGTCAGTCTTGTCCGTCCAGTCGCGGTAAACGCCGCTTCCTCTCCCGCATTTTTGCGCGAGAGATAGAGAGAAATGGTAGCGGAAAAAAAGAACCTAAGACTAGAAGCGAAAATAAAAGCACTTGCCGCGCGAGACAGTCAGCAGCAATAATTGCACCACCAGTCAGTCGGGACAGACAGCAGACAGACTCGCCCGTCTCGTCTCATCCCGCCACAGCATCGCAGCATCGCACACGTCGACATAAGCCGGGCTGGCACTGGCCCGCCCGGCTCGCGCGTAATATCCGCAATGCCAGCCAGCCAGATTCGCTTCGGCCAGACTGACCGGCTGCGATCGCAAAGCGACGGGACGCCGCGCATCCCCGCGGGGCAAAAAACGCATACCACTCAAAGACAATTAATTGTGTTCACACACGAAATCTGAAGGAAATAACTTTGGTCCCGTGAAAAAGGTGCATTTTAGGGCACATGTCTTTGACCTGTTGCAAATATTCAAACTTGTGAGTGACAATTTAGCTTCCGATCATTGGACAAGTTTTATTATTCCGTTTTATTTAAGAAGAAAGTTGCAAATCCGTCATTCATTTGTCCCTTTCATAATTGCGAACTTGCTATGGAAATGTGACAAAAATAAATCACGTCGCTTGCGATTTGGCAGTGGACACTTTCCCAAATGTTATGTATAGATTTTTAAGAGAATTATTCGTGAAAGAGGATGAAGATTGGTTTGAAAAACGAGCGCAATGGTCTTTTCAGGGTGGACCAATATACTTGATTCAAGAACGCAGTCTTTTTCTAGACGTATTGCTATGGTATTGCCGCAGCGCAGTATAATGTGCTTTCCTAAAAGCGGACGGATATTTCTGCTGCCGA